TCCTTGCTTGCATTGTTTGCAATGAGATGTCTGCTGTTAGCCTGATGGGATATCCTTTGTAGGTAACATGATGTTCCTCTCTTGTCAATCTTAGGATTTTGTCTTTGTCTATGGTTTTGGTCAATATGGCTATAGTGTGTCTTGGAGAAGATCTTGTGTTGATTCTATTTGGGGTTCTTTGTATTTCTTGAGACTGGCTCTTCGAATGCCTCTCTAGGTTTGGAAAGTTTTCTTGCAGGATTTTATGGAATAGATTATCAATGCTCTTATAAGTCTCTTTGCCTTCTGAGACCAATTATCTGAATGTTTGGACCTTTGATGGTATCTAGTATTTCTTGTATATTATTCTCATTTTTGGGGGCAATTTTCTTAGTCTTTGTGGTGGATTTTTCTAGGCCAGCGATTCTCTCTTCTACATCTGAGATTCTATTTTTTGTATGCTATAGTCTGCTTTTAATACTTTCAGGGGAGGTTTTGACTTTCCTTTATTATAGCCTTCATCTCTAACAGTTCCATTTGATTCTTTTTTTTTTTATGGCATGTATTCCTGCTTTCAGATCTTGTAAGAATTTTCTCACTTCCTGGAACTCGTTGACTCCTTTTTCCTGCCTCTTGTGCAGTTTATTGTCTCTCTTTTCTCCCATGTCTGTTAGCTTTGTCACTGTGACTATTCTAAATTCTTTATCTGACATTTCCGTGAGTTTCATTTACTGTCTAAAGATGAAGAGGAGTTATTCTTTTCCCATGGAGGAGAGGTATTTTCTTGCTTTCTCATATTTCTTGTGACCCTGTGGTGATTTCGGGTCATCTGATGGATGGTGCATTTCTTCCTAATTCTTGAAGTTCAATCTGAGCGTTCAGAGGCATGCAGGAGGAGGTGATCTACAATCTCTCTTCCATTTTTTACTCTTTGCACATCAGATTTAGTGTGAATTGAGGAGTATTCTGACCTTAATCACATTCAAATGTTTAGATAGTGTTCACTGGGACCTGTCTAGACACTCAGTGCATGGAGGCTGGGCAGCCAAGGAATGAAGATAAAAAAAGAAACAAATTGGAGAAGAGAAAAGAAGAAGAGAAAATAAAATAAAAAGAAGAAAGAAAAATGATAATAGAAAACTTTATATTTTAATTTTAAAAAGCAAAAAATGAAAACTGCAGAGCACACATGCATGCTGCGTGAAAGCGATCTTTCACAGCTCAAGTTTAGTAGCCATCCCAGGATGGGCCTGGGTTTGTGCCTTTCCTAAATGGGATGGGGAAAGGCACACATTAGCACAATAAAGGAGGGACTTGAGAGCCCAGATAATACTTTACCTTAAAAAAAAAAAAATTAAAAGGCACAGGGAAACAGAGAGACAGAGAGAGACAGAGAGAGAGACTGAAAGAGAGAAGGATACAGAGGTAGCCCTACCCACCAGAGATGAATCTGGAGGGAAAAGTCTCAGCAGAAATTCCTCATTTTTAGTCAAGCAAAGCAGTATTTCACAGCTCAAGTTCAGTAGCCATCCCAGGATAGGCCTGGGTTTGTGCCTTTCCTAAATCGCTAGAGGTTAATTTCAATGCTAGGCATTTACTCTCTTAATGTTTGTTACCTCCTGTAGTCTCCTGTTTTTAGCTCTTAGGTTTGGGGTTTAGGGTGTGCTCGAGAGTGACAGGAGACCTCACTCTCCTGTGACTGGACATTTTCGGACTTGGGCCACAGACCTATCCCCTGGTGCCTCTCGCCTTAAAGTCCCAGGCCTGAGAGATCTGCTGCCCGGAGGTCTCCTCTGAATGGGGATAACTGAGGCACTACCAAGCAGAGACCTGAGAAGAGGGGACAGGACCCTGGGAGAAGCCTTAAGATTCCGGGGTTTGCCCTTTGAGCTCCCTCCCTGGGCCTGCATGTGGAATGGGATTGGATGGTGATTCTAAAGCTGCCTGCCTGGGCCTGGCCCTCACACTCTAAAACACTCTGTTGTCAGAGTCCAAGGAGTCTATAATATACCCATTTTCTGACAAGTTAATATTTTCTGTAGCCAAGTCACTTAGGAAATGTTATTTCTTAAGCCCCTGGCCTCTGCTAAGCGCTCCCAGGGCTATCACCTCTGCCTTTCAGGCCCCTTTCAGGCCCCTTTCAGCCAGACATCTGCCACTGCATTGGAATCTGTCCCAGTGGAGGTGTGTTGGCGCTGACCAGGCCCTCTGGAGAGGCAGGAACACCCAGGGGCGCTCCTGTCTCTGGAAGCAGCTCTGCACTGCCACAGATGGCAGCAGCCTGCCAGGGTCCCACTCCCACGGGCCGGGGGTGTGACGTAATCCTCCAGCTGCACAGTGGGCCTGGCCTGGCCACGGGCATATTTTGAGCCCCCCAGGGCCACTCATTTGCTTGGTCTGACGACCTCAGCCTGCACACTCTGTGTTGAGGTTTCCATCAGTAGCTCTTCCCTGTTGAGGTTCTAAACAGACTGAAAGTAGGACAAAGGAAGTCTGGGTGATGAGGGGCCTCCTCGATGGTGGAGAGCTAAGCCTTTAGTAGATGTGCCCAGCAGGGCTGACCTGAGGCATGACAGATAAACAGTACTGTTGTCCCTTACCAGTCCCCAGAGGCAGATCCAGCCCCAGACTAGTCAGAGCTGGGGCTGGCTCTAGAGAGCAGAGAACATGGGGCTTATTCCCAACAGGCTAAGAAGCAACTGTGCCTGCCTTTTGCCTTCTCCATATTTCTTCAACATCCCAATTTTATGCTAGTTTTCTCTCCTGTCCCCTCAGTTTGCCCACATGCTCCCACGGACAATGGGCCTGATAATAATAGTGACTCGGTTTCCTGCACTCACTGAGCCAGGCTCTGTAGCGGCTCACGTGCACCCTGGTATCCATCCCAGGACAGCTGTCCTGTTATTGTCTGAAACAAGCGGGCGCACAGTGAGGTGGCGTGGACCTTCTTGGTGGGTGTTACAAGGCAGCTGGTGGTGGGGGGCAGTGGGTGGCATGGTGGTTAAGATGCTGGATTCTCAAATGACTGACCATGGTTCAAGTCATGGACCTGGTAGCTTAATGTCTCACTTTCTTTCTCTTTTTTTCTCTCTCTGGTGAGCACATGTGCCCTATAGCAAATTGAAAAATAACAGTAATAATAAATAAAGTTAAATAAATAATAAAAAAATATAAAGGCAGATGGGCCTTGGCCCAAGGGGCATGGGCATCAGTCTTTGCAGGTGAACAGTGGTGGCTCTTTTGGTGAGGTGCTGTGGTTTGTGGCCAGTAGGGGCCTGGGACAGCTGCTGCAGGAGACCAGTCCTCTGCTGCTTTGGCTCGGGCTGGAAGCTTCCTGTTTCGGGGCATAGACGTGTCTGACACGTGCTTATACTGTAGCTCTGGGTACTTATTTAAGAACAACTTGATTATTTCATTGTAGGAGTCCGGATGTAGATTTACAGATATGTTTTTGTGTTTTATTTTTTAAAATGTATTTATTTTCCTGGCCAATATAATTATGCTTGGGGATTTTACCCTTTGATCTGGACTGGAAGAAATGTTCACATTTTAAAACCTCTTTAAGACATCTTTGGATTTATTGTCCGTACAAATGGAAATTCAGATAATAGCTCTGTCTTTAACTGAAGAGAAGAAACAGGAAAAGAAAATAAATTTCTTGCCATTTGGAACGATAAACACCGCGACGCATATGTCATATATCCTGGCAACAGAAATTCAAGGTCGGAAATAATTCTTTTCCTCCTGAGTCTGTCTTCAGCCTCCCTGAGGAGTGCAGCAGTTGAAATTTGCTAATTGTAGCCACAATTTTAGCATGCAATTAAACACATGACTTCCTTCCCAGCTGATGTCTCTTTAGCTAGTCTGACATGGAGAAAGCAGAGAGCTCTGTTGATTTGATTGGCCACTTTCATCTGATAGGAGGCACCAAAGTCACCATTTTCTGAGCATCTTCAGCCACCCAGTAGGTTAATCTTGCCTATAAAAATGGCGAAAAGCATGGGTGCTTCTAATACAATGTCCAGTGTTGCTGTCTAGAGATGTAGAAAACCGACAACTGGGGGCCAGCAGGTGGCATGGTTAAGATGCTGGACTTCTACATGTCTGACAGCGGTTCGAGTCCTGGACCTAACAGCTTGAAAAGCACACTGGATGTATGTGCATCCATGCCCAACATTCCTAGAGGAGAATGGAGGAGAAGGGATTATGGCATGGCCATCCCTCCTGGGAGGTGATTTCTTACTCCTCCCACCCCTCTCTCTCTGTCTCTTTCTGGTGAACTCACATGCCTCTAGCAAAATATACACCCTCTCTCCCCTACACACACACACACACACACACACACACACACACACACACACACATACACACACACAGAAAACCAGCAGTTGGTGTGGCCAGGTTGCTCAGTCCCTCTGAGATTAAGGATCACCTTGATAGGGGAGTATCAAGGATGCAAACCGTGGGGTTGTGGTGGCGGGAGTAGAGGCTCATGGAGATCACTCGGTTTGTGAGGTTCTGGTGTCCAAGGAATCCCAAGGCATGAGACCACTTGAGTCCAACAGGCCCAGGAGCAGAGCCGCCCTCCATGGAGGCCACTCGGGGACTTTACTGGCTACTGGTCTAAAGTGCCTTTCAAAGTGGTTATGTCACTTCCCTCCCACCGTCTCACAAGATGATAACCTACATCCTTCCTCCTTGCCAAGTCTGTTGGGCATGTGGCAGCCTCTGTACCATTTCATCTTGCATTTCCCTCACTGCTCATGGGATTGGCCACTTTGTCCTTGTGTTGACCGGCTTGTCCTGGTGTGCTTCCTATTTATTTTATGTTGAGAGAGAAAGCCCTCCAACAGGGTCTTTCCATTATGATCTCCTGGGCACACTCACCCAGAGTGCTCAGGGCGGTTCTGGGACAGGCTGCAAACCCAAGGCCTTTCCCATGGTTGCAATTGTGCCACCACCTGGGCCCCGATGTGGTGACCTGGAGTCTCCATCTCATAACTGTTTGATTACACTTTCAGATGGCAAGTTTGGTGCCTACATGCAAGTGCACATCCAGAACGACGGGCCCGTGACCATAGAATTGGAGTCCCCAGCTCCGGGTGCTGCGACCTCTGACCCAAAGCAGGTAAGCTGGACTGAGGTGCGAGGCCATCTCCTGGGTGCCGGTAACATCTCATGGCTTCAGTTCAGTCTGGGGTAATCCCCACTTGGAGGTGGAGGAAACACCTCGTTGCTGTAGCTTCATGTTTATGTTAATACCTCCCTTCTCAAGAATGCATGTTTGCTTGTGACTCCTGAGCACCGTGGAGGCTAGGACAGCTGATCCCTTGCCTCTTCCTGCCTTTGGGTCCCTGAGAACATGTCCTTTGCAGAGCCTCGTTCTTCCTCTGGGCTCCCATTATCGGACCAGGTGCCATGGCGCCCACTTGCCGCTGGGTGGCAGCAGAGCAGCGGCCCTAGATCATTCTGCATGGTTACCTGGAGTGGATTTTGTCCCAGGTGTGGGTAGATGTGCTGTTTAAAGTTCTTTGTAAATCCTCATTTTTCAAAAGCAACATCTGTCTTGGGTTCACTGCCAACTCTGTAAGCTTCCAGAAAAGAAAAAGTAATTACAATAGAGAAAGGAACTGTGTGATAGACCCTGTAACTCGTGTGGTCTCATAGATGTTTAACACATTTTCAAAGACTTTAATTAATGCTCCTGCTTGATAGAGACGGGTGGGGCCTGGCCGGCAGAGGGACAAGAACTGAAGGGACATCCCTGTTCTTCCTTCCCTGCCTCCCTTCCTGGCTAGGACACTGTGGAGTGGATCATTCATGTGGGGGAAGCATGATAGCAACTTCAAGGGGCCTGGCCCATTCAGTTGTATTGTTTTTTTTTTTTTTGGAGAGGGTTTTTGCTGTAGGGCGCGTGCGCTCGCCAGACAGACAGAGAGAGACATAGAGACAGAAAGCGAGAAATCACTCCCCAGATCCCAACTCCTCCATTCTCCTCTCGGGATCTTGGGCACACATGCACACGTGCCCGGCGTGAGTTCTAAGCCACCAGGTCCGGGACGCGAACCGCGGTTGACTATGTGGGAGTCCAGCGACATAGCCATTATGCTAACTGCTGGTTCCCGTTCAGTTGTATTTTTAAAGGGGAGTGTAAGCACTCTCTTTTGTTACTAGCTCTTTGTATTGGAGAGAAGTGGGAACATACCTGATGCAGTAGAGCTATACATCAGAGATAGTGATTGAGGGTCCTGGAATTATTGATTAAGAACATTAAACATAAAAAAAAAAAAAAGAAAAGGGACCATCAGATGGTGAAAGGCTACATTGCTGGACTCCCGTTTAGTTGACCATAGTTCAAGTCCCGGACCTGGTGGCTTAAACTCAAGCCAGGCGTGTGTGCATGCATGCCCAACCAAGATCCCGAGAGGAGAATAATTGAGGAGAAGGGATGCAGCGTGGCCATCCCCCGGGGGGTGATTTCTTGCTTTCTGTCTCTCTGTCTCTCCCTTTCTTTCTGGCAAGCGCACGCGCCCTATAGCAAAAACCTCTCAAAACAAAACAAAACAAAAACAAAAAAATCACAAATGAAAAATCCCGTGAAAAGGTGACCAGCAGATGGTGTAATGATTACGTTGTTGGATTCCCACATAGTTGACCATGGTTTGAGCCCGGACCTGGTGACATAAAATTCATGCCAGGCGTGTGTACGTGCGTGCCCAAGATCCTGAGAGGAGAATGGAGGAGAAGGGATTATGGTATGGCCATCTTCTGAGAGCGGGGGAGTAATTTCTTGCTTTCTGTCCCTGTCTCTTCGGCAAGCACACATGCCCTATAACAAAAATCTCTCTCCCCCAAAATTTTAAAAAACCCCATGAAATATAAGCTTTTTACTGTGAAACAATTTAAGACTTACAGAAAAGTTTTAAAAAGCCCAGAATTTGTGTATACTCTTTACCTAGGTTCTGCTAATTTTATTGTCTTAAATGGCTATGGTATAGTGATAACGCATTGAAGCTATTGTTGATATGATACTAATAACTACATCACAAAACTTATTTCAGTTTCACTAGTTTGGTTTTGTTTTTGCATCCTTTTTCTGTTTAAGGATAATACAGGGACCTATTTCCATTTCATTGTCTTTCTCCTTAGTTGTCTCCAGTCTTTTTTTTTTTTTTTAACTGTCACAAATAGGACTTCTTATTTGTCACTATTGAAAGTTTGAACTTTAAACAGATTCTTGGACTGCCGGTTCAAATCCATCAGCTCGTTCAACTTTGGCACCCGTCTCATCCCCAGTAGCTTTTCCAGAGCAGCTACCTTCACCATGAAGCTCCATGAGTTTTCCCAATTCAAACTTGGGCTTCTTCAACATTTTGATTTTTCTGATGAAGACGTCATGGAGAGGGTAGATGGATTGGCAGGCCTTTTCTATGTCTTTTCCGATGTTTTCTGGAATCAGTTTATTGACCACTTTCAATTCATTTGTCTGCACCTCCCGGGTCATGATTTCCATCATCTTCTTCCGGATTTGGCAGACCTGCTGATGCTGGACATAAGAGGTCTTCCGTATCTGATTGTTGCATTTTTTAGTAAACCCAGCACAGAAGAGACGAAGCAAATAAGCATTGGTAGTCTTGACATCAACCTGAGCTTCAGTCATGATCTGCCATTTTTTGACCTTGGAACACATTTTGTCACGGGTGAGATCCATGCCCTGGAAGTTAGGCAGTTTTTGCCCTGAACACCCTCAGTAATTAGCTTGAATTTCCTAAATGTGACTTCGTCCTTCTGCAGATCTGCAAGGCTCACTTCAAACACACAGCCCTTAAGGCCATCAGATGCAATTTTAGCTCTTTGAGTCCTGGTAACTAATGTCTTCCCAATATTTCTTATGTTGAACATAGCAGGAGCTTTCGCATCCTACCAAT